TTCCTTCTATATTTTCCAGAGAAAATAACAGTGAGAAAGTAGCTTTCCCTAGATGTCTGAATCTTTGATGTTTATTTTTCATTCTTGATAAATGATGCCTTATGCAATAAATGTCATTTTGAAATTTTTGCTGCAATTAGTCGCTATGATAATGAAAAAGTCCTAAATTAAAAACATTTATATGACAATTTCGCCCTTTTTGAACCTTAATTCAAAAACACGACAGCATGAGAAATTCAGACAGTTGTCCTACAACAGCGTGAAATGTTAATGTGAAAACACAAAAATCACTTTTTTCTTTTGACCGAAAGTGCACAAATTTACTTTCGGAAACTTGCCTGAATATAAGCATGTAAATGAATGTGTTTGTTTGATGGATTGTTTGTTGCTTGCTTAAATGATATTGTATATATACACACACGTTAAGCTCGTCGCTAAATAACAACAAATCATATTTGTTTCACATATTAAGAAAATTTCCTCACAAAAATATCTTTATACTATACAAAAATCAAATGACTGGCACCCTTAAACATGTTAAACAATTTCATACCTGTTAATATCTTGTCACATTCACATTCATTCCAGTTATAGTGTCTTAATCTGTAATCTCTCAAAAATTTAATTTAAATCAGATTAGATTGTTCGTCATATGTGTAATGATCATTTAGGTAAAATCCGAGAGGTTACGATTGAAAAAGGCAATAGTCTAAAAATAAACTTCAAACTGAGTGCATGTCAATACATTTAATTTGAATTAATGAAACCAATACTTTTGCATACGGGCTGCATCGTCGCTGTCAATTAAATGGTTCTTAATGATATAGTAAACATCACATTGTTTTCATTCAATCCATAAAATACATGTATTATTTGATAGCTGAAATCAATACACAATTAAAAGCTAATAAAATGTTTCATTTATTTTTCCTTTCTGAATTTAAATTTTAAACACAAATCGATTTTTTATTAAGTGAAATATTTTTCTCCAATGTTCTTGCTTCTGTTTAAAAACTACTTGATTATACAGCGGACAATATTAGTGTGTGAAAAGGCATAATTTACATATCAGAATATTGAGTACTTAATTTGAGCTAACTTTTAAAGTGTTTCGGGTTTTATACATCCTTGGCTTTCAAATTTTGACTTTGAGCGTTCCTGATGAAGTACATCCAGAATAGCACTTCGGACGCAACTAATCTATAAAGTGTTCTTTTCATGTTTTTGAAATTATGAACATTATTGGAATATATATAAAATAGTTGTTGATATATGTACTGTTGTCGCTTGTTATACTGTTTTATTAGCTTAGTTCTGAACTGATTTTCATCATTGGTTTCCACAGCGATCAAAATTTGATTTATTTGGGAGAGATTCTACTTCATAACTCTTTACAGCTGCCTTGAGTTAACTTTTTTACCCATATTTCAGGAACTGCTAGACCACTGATGTAGATTTCTATGAAACTTCCAAAACTTAAATGCAATATGGCAGATGGCAAGTTTTGATAGCTAGAATCAACTATCATTATTTTATGGGGAATAAAACACAACCAGCTTTATTGACAATTAGATGATAAAAGTAATGGATCTGTTTACAGCACACTTCTAGATTTGAATAATATTCATCTTTATTCTCATTTGTAAAAGATTTAAAAAAAAAGTCATTTTCAAAATCTCTTTTCGGCCAATTAATTTATCAATATGTTTATAGGTTGAAACATATCTGTTTTTAGGGTAACCCAAACTTTTAAGTCAACCGACTTTAAAAAAAGTTTGAGATGGATAAATCAATTCCGAATGATGCCTTGTAAAGCTTCAATCTATCCATTTGAGCGAGAAGCATAGCAGGATTATTGCTTCGCATCACGGTGCGACATACGATATTCAAGCCATATTGAAATTATTACGTAACAAATATCGGTTCTCATTGGTTGCCTAATGATGTGGAAAAGATTCTATTGGCTAGAAAGAGATATAAAATTGGGAGCATGTTCCGAACAGGAGAAGATATTAAATACGGTCAAAATTACAGTATGAGTATTCAAGATCCGACCCAACACCCGACCAATGAATAATTTTGCCTTTAATGGATTACCTTGCTATATAATGTCGCGTCAACTTCGTGCTAATGAATAAAAGGGGGGACTAAAACGAACAAGTATCTGAGTGCTCATCTGACTATATATACATGTACACAAATACTAAAAATACATATTACTGCCAATGATCTTCCAGAATTTTGTACGAATACATGTATTCCATGTTATAAAACCAAATGATATACCAAAACTACAAGTACCCCGAATTGTGCATTGAATTGTTTTGAGAATGATCTGGAACTTTTAGGAGGCCTCTAATAACATTTTAGTAAAATGACGGAAAACATGTATGAGGATATCCAAATGCAAATAAATATTGCGTCAAAAATTAGAAAGACGGGCTTAAAATACCACACTAATGAGTATATGCACAAAGGAGGTAAATAACTCCTTTTCCCATACTTAAACAACCACATCTTACTTAAAAATATGATACAGCAAAGCACTCCAAAGTTTTTTAGAAAGCTAAAACTTTGGTAATTATTTGTTTCAGATAAGTCAATGTTTGGATGAGAATTGTAGTTCTCGCGAGAAATTGACCCTGAGGAAATGTTCAAAATTGTTTATATCGAGAAGTTTACTATCACCAATCAAAGAAAACATTCATAACATTAAGACATAAGCATGGACATTATTGACAGAAAATACATACAACTTCTCAATGGAACCACAAGACAAATATGATATAACCATTGATAAAACGGGCAGATGAAACCCTCGCAGACTATCAGTCCTTTAGAAGCGGTACGATCCAGTGCTTGAGGAAATGAAAATAACGCAATAAATTTGGTTCGTCCGACGCACTTTTCTGAACTTACCTTCCGGAACGATCAAACCCAAAAATTTGAAACCCAAAGAAGTATACATCAATTTTATGATTCATATTTTCTTAACTGCATGCCAATTGTTAGCCGACTACAATTCTATATATCGTTCCAAAAGTAAATTTTATTGGCAGCGGCTTAAGACTAGTTGATTTTTAACATTTTATGTGATTGCATAACATTTAATATCGTGGCTAAACTGAAAATATGTCTATCAAACATACAATTCAGGTTACATGCAGCTTACATTTTGTTTAGAGGCAATAATTTATTTATCTGTTTGACATTATACTTATCATATAATTGATATTCGATGTTAAAGTTTTACAACATTTAGGTATTTGAAAACGAAAGAATTTCGTGGGTTAATAGATATAAGAAGATGTGGCATGAGTGCCAATGAGACAACTCTCCATCCAAGTCAAAATTTATAAAAGTAAACCATTATAGGTCAAAGTACGGTCTTCAACACGGAGCCTTGGCTCACACCGAACAGCAAGCTATAAAGAGCTCCAAAAAAATTACTAGTGTAAAACCATTCAAACGGGAAAACCAACGGTCTAATCTAAAAAACAAAAACGAAAAACGAGAAATACTTATGAACCACATCAACAAACGACAACTACTGAACATCAGATTCCTGACTTAAGACAGGTGCAAACAATTGCAGCGGGTTTAAACGTTTTAATGGTACCAAACCTTCACCCTTATCTGAAACAATAGTGTAACACCACAACATAGAAAGACACACTATAAAATATCAATTGAAATGGCTGAACTCAATCAAAAGACATATTAACACCAGTGAACATACACTGAATATGTGTTAGATTACCTTAATCCTATCAAAACATCGATATATCTGTACACGAAATAACAAATATACGGCATTGTATGTCGATTCCGAGGTGTCGATAAGACTTTTAAAGATGCCGAGAGTCTCCTATTATTCCCGTCTGCTGGTTGAGACAAACCCAAATAACATTCATGCAATTATTTAAGATAGCAACCCACGTTAACCGACAGGTAAAGACTATGCATTCAATAAATTAAACAAGTAGAAGGAATGATGTCAAGTTAAAAATGTCGTTGTCTAATACCCGTCAGCTTATGTGTTATGTAACTTACAGACAGAATTAAATGTGACGTCATTGATGTCTGAAAAGAAACGGTAGTTTGGCGATAAACAGCTTACTGCCATATCGATCAATCTTGCAGACATAAAAGCTTGCAATAACATTGGTCGTAAATAACTGACTCGACGGAACATTGTTCAATTTTCTTAGAAATATTTTCTATTTTAGTGCATTTATTTATTAAATCATCTTTAGGGTTATGTTTACATATTAGGTTAAGTGTGTAGTTATCATTCAAATCATTGAAAACTTTCAAGAGGTGAAGTCCAGACGCACTTAGTTACATACAGTAAATGATCGAGGCTGTCAGCTATAATAAATTACTCATTGGAGGTTTCTAGACATGCGACACAAGTAATGTGGAAGAGTATTTGGTTAACTAAAACATGAATGTGAAATCGTATCTTTTTTTTTCAAAAAAAAAAACAACTGATGACTTTAGACGATTAAACCTTTAGACTAAAGAGTAATACTAATAGAAAAACAAAGAATATGGAGTATCCATCCATGACACAAAATCAGTACGTGCACAGCAAAAAGACACACAATAAGCAAAGGAACAACGCTTTTATTGCTGTTCTTCATCTCAAAGTCACAGTGAGGCCTTCAACATGGAGCAACAAATATAGATAAACTCTCACCTCACTGCAAGTTTAAGACGGCCCCTAGCAACGGCTTGAGCGGAATTCTTTGCTAAATCTGTATTTGTTTATTGATTCTTAATTTTTTACGTCCAGTGACCAATAAAACAAGACTTTTTGCAGGTCCGACTGGTAAGTCATTAAAAATTATTAAAGAGAATAGAAAAAATAAATTTGAAAGTATGAAAAAGGTATAAAAACAAAGGAATTATGTTCATTGATTGGTACAATTGGAAATGTTAGTTTCAGAAAAGCGTCTCTTAGATGATTTTCATTTTTTTTAAGTAATTAATAACTATGCTGTACGATATTTTATTCTACATGTTGCTTGGAATTTGTGTTAACCACACATTTAAATAGGCGTTCCTTTGAGAAACTTCGTTTTCAAGATGGCAAAACTGCTCAGTTTCATTAACAATATATGTTCCTGAACTCCGCAAATATGCTTTATATGCATATCATGGTCTCACTGTATTCTGAGTTGTGCTTTTACGACTGGTTTAACTCTTTGTTTTGTTTGATTATGGCTGCTGGACTTGTGCTATTGGGAATGATTTTGGCATACAATCTACAAATCTATGGAATGGGTAATCGAAGAAGTATTGATATGAAGGGTCGAAATCAGCCGAAAAAAATCGTGACTTTTTAGTTGCAATTATAAACAAAGACACTTCCATCCCAACTGACAACCATGAGACTATTTCTCGTCCCATTAAAGTCGATGACTGTTGGATTAAGTAGACCATCCTCCATTGATAGAACTTGTTTGCATTCCATATTATCCATTGATATGGACACGACATTCTTTGTTGTGTGACCAATGAGGTAAATAAGTCCATGGTCATCTGACGTCACACCTCGTGGATCGCTCAAAAAGTGTTTGTAATGAAACGTCCAGCAGACTTTTGAAAAAGAATCAAGTAGTTTTATTATATCGTTTTCTTGATTGACAAAGCAAATTTTGTCAGCCACTGTCGTTATGTACATTCCCCATGGCAAGGCTTCTTTGTAAAATTCTGAAATAATATCATCGGACAACGCCATCGTCTCTATACCTTTTCCCTCAACACAACAGAAGAGTGCACCACTTTTGTGTGTGATCCCATAACACGGACCATTTGTTTTCGTTGTTTTCACTACTTTCTGACTTTCAATGTTATACAAATTAATAACAGCTTCAGAGCCTGAAGTCACAGCAACACATTCGTTATCAATTGCAGCAACATCAAATACGCGTCCTTGACCTTCAATGATATACTGGAAAGAACCATCGATAGCATGTATGATTAACGACTGGCTGTTACGGTCAGTGAAAACAAATTTTCCAATCGGCAAAAACGTGCAACCTCTAATACTACGATTTTGGGATCCCTCTTCAATTTCAAATTTTTGAGCCAACCCCAGATGTGACTCTTTGCTACTTATAGGTGCTTGCATCTGTCTTTTGTCTTTTCTGAAAATTCTTACTTTTGTGGGATTTGTCTGCAAGAAAATTTCACAGGCTTGTGTAATGTCTGTCAAGTCAGATTGCAACTGTTTATTGACATTAAATTTAATACAGATCTCATCAAGTTGATTATTATCAAATAAAGATTGTAACTGGAATTCTTCTTTGTGAACATATTTTTCAACCTCTTTAATTCCAAAAAATGTTTGAAAATCTGATCCAAACGATGTCATCAAATCAATATCGCGAAGCATTTGTTTCATGTCTGCGATTTGTTCGTCAATTTTTATCAAAAACGTTTTGATTTCTTTTGTTTGTTCTTCAACGTGATAATCTATATCTCCGATTAGTTTGTTTTCCGTATCATTTAATTTTTTAATGACTTCTTCACGGAATGTCGTATACTCTTTTAGAATCTCTTTTTTCTGTTGATTGAACATTTTGATGTTATCATCCCGATCACGTTTTATATTATGCAAATTTGTTATTACGTCATTTAAACATTGTTTAACGGCCTCTTTTGCTACGGAATGTTTTGAATTCTTAATTACTTCCGGAATTGGCTTAACATCGTTACATGATTTGTGTGTGTCTTGTATGCATGCATTACACAGGAGGAGTTCGTGGTTGACACAAACACATGTATGTCTTTCATTATGATTGGTACATTTCAATTCTAATTGCTGTATATATTGTGGTAACTTCATAAAGTTTTCTATTGAAATGACTGTGTGGATTTTGCTTGTTTCTAACTCATAGTGTTTCTTCTCGCAAAAGTCGCAAAGTGCATGTGCGCATTCTGGACACCACGTGACAGCGAGAGAGCTCTTTCCTTCTTCACAGTACCCACATTTATTATCGGTAGATGTCATATTCAAACCTTCAGCTTAGATTGTTTTATTCTGTAAAGTAATGAGAATATTTAAATTAACAAAATCTGTGGATATTTATTTTTTTCGATATATCTAATTAAAATATGCAACTAAACCACATTTCTAATATTATTGTTTCAAATCTTAAACGACATATTTTGTCAAAAAAGTGATACACAAACAATACAAATAACCGGATGAACAAGATTGGCACAGATTATCCAATTTCACATGCCGATATGACCTATATTTCAAAGGGGCATAACTATCTTAAAAATATTTGATCTGCGCTGATTTAAAAACTTTCTGATATATTGCTGAAGTTAACATTTGACATGAATTTCCTTCAACTCTAACGAGAAGAGGGCTTGCAATGTTGATTTTTCGACTTTTCATTTTCAAGGGACATAACTCTAAAAAAATATTTAAACCATGCTGACTTTCCAACTTGTCTGAGATACTGCAGATGTAAACCATTGACCAAATCTCAATAGTCTTCAATGAGAAATTTAGCCCAAGAACCTACAATGTTGATTAGCAATATCATTTACACTTCAAAGGGGCATAACTACGAAACATAGTAGAGATTAACCCTGATTTTCGACGGCCAAGATAGTGCAAATGGAAAACCTTTACAGAAATTTTATAAAAAAAAATTATGAGAATTGTACACGTGAGATCGCTAACAATATCAAACAGACATCAGTATTTTTAGGTGATGGGGACAAAAACACAGATTCTATTAAAAATCCAGAAAAAAAGAACATCGGATTGAACGTCTCTTAGTATGTCTATTTGTACATGCAGCATTGCCAAAAGGACGCCCCTCTTAAGAATTAGTTTTATTGCCAGATGAGGAAGTTCTACGTGACTTTAGTTCTATACCCCCAACCTTTTCGTTTGGTCGAGACGAAGAATAAAACATGATATGTCGCAAGAAGCAAGTGTGTACAAAAAGATTACATTTTTTTTTTTAAACAAGTATTGTCTGAAATAAGCAAAAACTAAAAAGTGTATACTTTACCATTTAAAATGATCTATTCGCTAAGCGTTGAATGTATATAGTTGCTATCCAATATTCACATTTTACCGATGCACTTTGCATTTAAATTTTAATGTTTTAAAACGTCTAACTTCCGTAATTATATATTTGGAATGTTACCAAAGTTATTTAAAAAACATATTGTACCATATTGAATAGCTGTGAATAAATAGTTACTAAACAATTAGTTTATAATAATATACTTTGCAGAATTTTAAGTATTTACGACCGATTAATTCAATTTTATGTAGCACAATGTGTAAAAAGTTTTCTTTTTGAATCAAATTCCTTTGAAGTTAAATTTGTTTTAATAAACATTAAAAGTTGTTATACATTTTAACAATTTAAATCAATTTTTCTGCATTTACAACAGGTTAAAACCCCTTAAATTGAATGAGAATTATTTGAATCTTTAATAGAACGTTGATCTTCAAAACATGTTAGAATGTATTTGTCATGTAGCGTTGAAATTTCTTTATTTTCATAAAACCACACTTTTCTTGATAGCACAAAAACATAGTTATCGTTGTATGTGCATTTATGAAAATTTCATCAGTTCTGCTGGATTATAAGATTTACATACAAAGATATATATGAAGGAATTAATCGTTCCTAAAATAAAAATAATTATGCTATTACTGTTCACTTTTAATATCTTTTAGGAGCAGCTATACCTGGTATGCATGGAGTTTAGTCCAATATGATCTTCTTTTGTTGTGCTGTCAGTGAATTGACAGGTTTAAAGTACTGTGGAGACTATTTGAGACATTTTGTTTACCTACATGCAATTGATAAGTAACAATAAACAATTTGTTGCAAACGATTGATTTCGGTTATGTACCTTAATATATATACGTTGATTTTATGAACTCGAGTTCGGTCGGGATGATATACATTGACAAAGGTAAGGATATTTTATTTCCGTCTATAGAATTCAATTATCTATTGGTGTTAATCTATATTCTATTAATAGTCTAAACAAGAATAAAAACCATCTAACGTCAACTTTGCCCAGAGGGAGTTTCAACCTCAGGTTTAATACAATAACAATACTGTATGAACTGAAAATAAACCATAAACATATTCACCAGAGCAGCGGTACTGACCTAGCTGTTCAAAAAATAATATGCCGTGAATACCAGAAAAATAATAATCTTTATCAGATACGCTTGAAACCAAACGATGCGAGTGCTTATGATAAATGTTGTATACCTTCAGCTATTTCTAATGTGAAGAAAAAATCCGAATATTGTGAATTGGAAATATTACCATAGGCTTTATCTTGATCTTATATCATTTTAAAACATACATTAATATGTGGCTACGCATGGCTATACCTTAGATTAGTATACCGCTGATAACAGTTGTAGATCTTTCCTTGTATACCAACTGAATATCTCTATTTTTCTTTCAGCTGAAAAAAACCCCAAAAATTACAAATAAAAAATTAAAGATTCAATTAAAAACATAAGGAAATGAGAAGCCCTAGCAGCTTGGCGAATGATGCTGTGCACGAGGCTATCATCATTAAGCATGTAGCCAAAGCACGTTATTTGTAATACTAGGCACGGTATCACATACAGTGGCGTGATATTCGTACACATTTAGGAAATACGTCTCCGGTTATTTTGTAAAGACACTACCAACCGACAATGAGTGTCTTGTAACGGCTTCAGCGATGATTAACCAAGTATGAATATAACCAAAGATAATAGTCTATGAGACAGTAGTTCGTAATATGTATTTGATTTTGAGAAATATCATTATAACTGAGCAATTATGTAACAGGTACGAAGAAGGTAAACTATAGACGGAAACGTTTCTAAATAACTATATCTACATATCTATGGATGGCCCTTTGAGGAGCGTCACAACATACTTTATACATACATCCTGAAATTTATTTCTAGTGTTTAAACATATTTGTAGAAGTTCATGCAGATTCACCGAAACTAAATTAGCAAAGACTACAAGAACATAGCAATGAAACACTAACAGTCATCTTAAGCCATGAAAAGTATGTCTCTATAAATAAATGTAATATAACAAAATCTATTGCGTAGCAATAAAATTGAGAATGGAAATGGGGAATGTGTCAAAGAGACAACAACCCGACCACAGAACAGACAACAGCAGAAGGCCACCAACAGGTCTTCAATGCAGCGAGAAATTCCCGCACCCGGAGGCGTCCTTCAGCTGGCCCCTAAACAAATATATATACTAGTTCAGTGATAATGAACGCCATACTAAACTCCAAATTGTACACAAGAAACTAAAATTAAAAATAATACAAGACTAACAAAGGCTAGAGGCTCCTGACTTGGGACAGGCGCAAAAATGCGGCGGGGTTAAACATGTTTATGAGATCTCAACCCTCCCCCTATACCTCTAGCCAATGTAGAAAAGTAAACGCATAACAATACGCACATTAAAATTCAGTTCAAGAGAAGTCCGAGTCTGATGTCAGAAGATGTAACCAAAGAAAATAAACAAAATGACAATAATACATAAATAACAACAGACTACTAGCAGTTAACTGACATGCCAGCTCCAGACTTCAATTAAACTGATTGAAAGATTATGTCTTCATCATATGAATATCAGGCACAATCCTTCCCGTTAGGGGTTTAGTATCATACCATCATAACATATATGAGAAGAACATAACCCGTGTCATGCCAACAACTGGTTTTTAAATAAATGTGTTTAGTGCAGATGCAAAGACCCTATAAGTGAATCAATATCAACGCCAAAATATGCAATCTTTAATGACCTGACAACAGTATCGTAACTATATCCCTTCTTAATAAGTCTATTTAAAGGTTTTGTTAGTTTCAGAGGTGAATACTGACATTTTTGTGCTTTATAAAGAATATTTCCATAAAAAATTGGATGTGAAATACCTGAACGTATAAGAAGTCTGCATGTTGAGCTATATTTACGAATGATGTCCTTATACCGATGATAAAATTTAGTAAATGTTTTGACTAGTTTGTGATATCGAAAACCCTGGTGTAATAATTTTTCAGTAATACATACATTTCTCTCGTTAAAATCTAAAACATTGTTACATACACGAGCGAATCGTACAAGTTGAGATATATAAACACCGTAAGATGGTGACAAGGGAACGTCACCATCTAAAAATGGATAATTAACGATAGGAAATGAAAAATCATCTCTTTTATCATATATTTTAGTATTAAGCTTTCCGTTAATGATATAGATATCAAGATCGAGGAAAGGGCAGTGGTCATTGTTAGTATTAGCTTTATTTAAAGTAAGTTCAACAGGATAAATTTCTTTAGTATACATACTGAAGTCGTCATTATTGAGAGCCAAAATATCATCCAAATATCTAAAAGTATTATTAAATTTGTGTATCAGATGTTGTTTCGATGGGTCTTTACTGATTTTTGTCATAAATTGTAACTCATAGCAATACAAAAAAAGGTCCGCAATAAGTGGTGCACAGTTAGTCCCCATTGGAATTCCGATAACCTGACGATATACGGAATCTCCAAAGCGAACAAAAATGTTATCTAGTAAAAATTCAAGCAACATTGTTGAGTAGAACAATTGCTAATCAAAATGTACTCTTACCGTTTCAAACGCTCTGCATACAATCATTAGATGACAAAACAATCAAATGTACTTTGTAATTCACACTTAATGCTTTAAGAATTACTAAAGAACTTCCGTAATTCTATCATTTGCATGGTATCAAAGTTATACATCTATCCTATAGCATGTTGAATGTCTTCATTGTTAATACAGGAAGCATTTGAAGCTTAAACAATTTTATTAAACAATTGAATGAAACAATTTTAAACACTTTATATAAGACCATAACCCCATACAAATTGTATGCAATAACGTGACTGTACACAAATTATATACTTTTAACACGATAGATTAGCCATGAAATCATAAGTTAAAGCAATAAATTATATTCAATCCGATTTAATTGTTGTTTTTTTTTTTCGATGTTACCTTTGTATAACTATAGATGATACTAATTATACAGTGAAGCTGTGAATGTTCTATAATGAAAATAAATGCAATTGGTCAATGTTTTTTAATTTAAAAAAAAACTAAATGCTATAAGGCGAATCCTCATTCTGTTACTACAGAAAAAAATCAAAATTCTTAGGTTTTGAAATCATTACTAAAAGCACTTACGGTCATCCTTTATGGACATTTTTCGGGATTTCTTTATACATTAATACCTTATTTACCCATAATTAAAGGAAAAAGAAAATAATTTCCCTCTGTTTGTTTATACATATGGATGCATCCCACAGAAACAGCAATCCCCTTTGGTATCATGAGTTCTTTGTGTACATGTACTTGTACGTACGTCAATATTTTAATACTTGGAGAAGCAAATCACAAAAAATGTTATACATATAAGTAAAGTTTAGATGACCCATCATAAGCTACATTTCACAATAAAAGGATACAACAATTGCATGAACAAAAAAATCATGACGATATGACAGTCAAGGTCATGAACCACAAAACTGAAAAAAGTCTGCTGAATACAAAATATAATCAACAATAATTATATATACAATTCAACAAAATAAAAACAGTCATTCCTGAGACTTAGAAAACTAGGACAACAACCATTTAAGTACAGCATAGTTTGTAAGTAATATATATAGATAGATCAAATTTCCCTAATTTCCAATACTATTTCTAATAGATGTTTTGACAATATGATTTTCACACAGAATATACAATTAAGGGGACGGCACCCGAAAAATTAGGGCACAGGATGTTTGCGCTTTTTTACCTGTAACACGATAGGACATTTGGCACAGTTTAAATAATGTCTTGAACATAGAGTTTAAGGTTATAGACTAGTAGAGAAAAAAAATGTACATGTCACGATGGCTTTTTATCATTGAACAACAGATTACATTAAAATTCGTTATATTGATGAACAGGGACCTCAGTCAAGAGTTGAGAAAGAGATACTAGAATATGTATTTGCAATGTAGGCGAAATACCAGCCAGGACAGATTACTAGAGCCGAATGTGTTTATTCCCTGGGCTCTAGATATCAAGCAAAAATAGACCTGTGATGACTAAACGCGTCTTGAACATGTTGAAGTCTTTAGAATGTTTACTTTTAGTTATATATAACTATATCCGTGTGATATAGAATCACTTTTAAACACAAATGTGCTATTAAATGACTATTAATCTTTTAACAATAACGAAAATTATGACTTTAACTCTGCCAGGCCAAACCTATCGGTCCTAAGCCCGGATAAAATAGGAGGGAACTCATAAGAAGCAGATATTGTAAAAGCGCAAATGTCCTTTTTTAAAAAGCGCATATGTCCTATAAATTGTAGCGCAAATGTCCTATAAATTGAAGCGCAAATGTCCATTAAAAAAGCGCAAACGTCCGGCGCCGAAAAATTAAGCATACGTAGGAACAGCTGAAAATAAATGATTATCTGCCTCACCAGAATATCAAATGGTCTTCCCCGAAGTATAGTGACATGCTTCTAACTGAAATGCATGTTTTAAATAAACTAACTAAATATAATAGCGTTCGATTTCCGGTTGAATCAAAGCAGCCTTGAAAAGTAGTCTTTGCATTTTGCTACTCCGTTATTATAAACGTGGCATGTGAGAGTCAAATAAATTACGTGATCATTCTGAGATGATGTGTCCTGATAGAATAATGTGCTTCCTACAAACTGTTGCCTTTTGAGCTAGCCCGTTTAAATCCCGGCTCAGCGTTTCGGTAAGTACATAGCAAAATGTATATGCATATCACGATATCATGTTTTTTTATACTTTAGATGTAGGTTATATTTGCCGCTGGATGTTAAACATCCAACCCTCCATTCATTTTAGCCATGGAGTATCGTAAGGCATTATTGCAAATAAAGACTAGGGGTTATCTTTCGTCCTACAAAAAAAAACAAAAAAAAACAAGAAATCTTCCGTTTACTCATATGTAACAAGCACACATTTAATATTAAAATTAGTGCTTTACTTTGGTCACGAATTTGCAATAAGTCATTGAACGTTAAGTTAACTATCAATCAATAGTCCATACTGTGAATATTCTGAATTAATGTGAATACTCTGAATTAATGTGTTCTTTAACTTTTTCTGAATTAATGCGTTGCTTAACTTTTTCTGAAGCAATGCGTTGCTTAACTTTTTCTGAATTAATGTGTTGCTTAACTTTTTTCTGATATAAGAATAAGGAGATGAGATATGAAGATCAGAGATTGTAGGCTTATAATATGGTACGCCAGACGCGCGATATGTCTATGCAAGACTCATCAGTAGCTCGAATCATAACAGTTGGGTGACCAAAACAATACGAAGTTGAAGAGCATCAAAAACCAAACATTCCGAAAAGCTAAATACGACTAAGGCAATCTTTTTATGGGGGTAGAAAACCATAGTGTTAATGAGACAACTTTAATTGTTGACCGAAGACAGAAACCACTCAACAAACATTTACAAGTTTCAGGAATATCAACAACATATTCACCCACAAAAACTATGTTTATTACAGTGAGATACGCGTATAAACCTACGTTCGAAAACCTCAATGGCAAATTCAAGGGTTAGAAAAATGTTAGCTGTCCTCAGGGCTATCAAAGCTCATTTTCGTGTAATTTATGCCTCTTACTATTTGCAATTTATTTGCTTACAAATATTTTACAGGATAATTCGTTGATTGAAAACTGTGTATACAATTTGAAGAAAGGCGCTTTGTGTCCTATTGGTCAATGATATCAAATTATATCTCGAGTGCAAATATATCCATCTATAACGAAAGTAGAATTGAAAACAGGAAGCAGTACAGTAAATACATAGATTAAAGTTATAAAAAAGAAAAAAAAACTAAAGGTACAGTGACAACACAATAATGGTAAGTAAATATTGATACGAAAGAATTTCGTAACATTTCATCGACGTATTTCAGCTATTTAATCTGTCAATTAATGAAGAAGCAAAGGCGATGTGTTCATAAATTATAAGCAAATGTTTGATTTGATTAATTTATGGCACTTATGTCTAGCTGCAAATATTATAAACATGTTCATGATATTAATGTGTTTATAAGATATGTATTTATCCTGCTTTGTACTGGTCCGACTAGCTTAGCCAGATTTTTAACGTGCTACTTCACTAGATAAATATCCGGAGGAAGACATGATGCCCTATTTAGAAGAATTATTGCTCTAACTCGTACTTGGTCGGGAAGAACTAATTACAGATTGTTTTGTTCGACTCAGTTATTGAGCTTTATATACATACACAATTGTATACGTCTTAATATATGACAAATCTAGGTTAGACGTTCTCTTTCGGATAATCTATGATTATACAGGGCTAACACCATACTTCAACCTGAAAAAGTAAAATAACAAAAAATACCAACGATTTAGACCAACGATGCAAGATATGAAATTTGTATTGTCTAATTTTTGTTCTTGCCTCAGCGAAATTTGAACCCTTGCTTCTGTGACATCGTGGTAAAAACGCCTGGACTATGTCCAGCGTCTGTGATCACTAGGCCAACTAGGCTATATAAAATATAGTTTTCGTAAGTTGAATTAGCCTTTCCTTGTCGGCTTTATATAGGGTTGTAACACAAATAAATGGTATACATTACAGATCAACTTTTGTCTGTCGTAAAGGATAATAATTTTACTTACCATGCAGTTACATTATATAATTATCAATTTATCAATAAAATAAATTATTTTACTTTTAAAATAAAATTTCTCAGATGATATTACACAAAACTTTTATTGTAGACCATTCCTACAAACCAAGAAATTACGACAATGCTTTTAGGCCCGTCTGGTGCAGGTAAAAGTCGTACAGGAAATAATTTACTAGGTATTAACAAAGCATTCGAGGTTGGTAACGGAGGTAAGCCTATTACCATTATTTGCAAATCTCATACAGGCGAAAGGTTTGGCAAACGACTACACGTTATTGACACCCCCGGAGTTTGGGGAGAGAAAAACGAAAATAAGAAACTATTAGATGAAATAAAGAAAGGCCTACAGATGTCAAATAATGAAGGTCCCCATGTGTTTCTTCTGGTCACAGAAATGGGTCGTGCCGTAGATATCCACAAGATATTTCTTCGATATGAGTGTTTGTTCGGAAAAAAAATGTTCAAGTACGCTATCATCCTCTTTACAAATTTAGATGTTTGGAAAGATAGGTTCAAAGATGATAACGACCAAGACGCAGATGAACATCAATACATTAGGAGTTTATCCAAGGATGCAATGAACTTGCTTAAGAAATGTGGAAACAGATATGTTTTATTTGACAACAAATGCAAGGGAGAAAAAATGGAAAAACAGTTGGAAAATCTGATGAATAAAATAACAGAAATGATAGTATTAAATAATGATGAAGTCTACATTGAAGAGAGGTCTGAGAGGAGGGATCAGCAAAACGATATGCCTTGCAGACAAGGAGGAAATGATTGGAAAATGAAGACCGGGTTTTATGTTGGAATTTGCGCTCTAGTAGGAATCTTCGCATATTCTAAATTTGGCAAATGACTTTAATTGCCATTTATGTGACACTTCAATGATTGTGTTCGAACATATAAACTAATGTTCTTAAAAAGTTTGTGTATGACCCCAATTTTATCAGTGATTTTAACGAGATTTGGTGTAATGTAATTAAATAGATATACCAGACCACAAATGGACTTTACAAAAGTTATTTTTGTACTTCCCAGGTAAATTATTTTGAAAAATGAAAACAA